TGGCAGCTGGCGGGTATGAGGACCCAAACCCTTGACTTGGTATCATAACCCTGTGTTCTAACCACCTGAACTAACCAGCCAGCCCTGCCTCCTTGCTTCTTGTCCCCATGTCCTTCCCTTATCATATGACCACGTTGCTGGAGCGTTTGTCCATCGAGTTTTAGATCCCCTGGTTTAAGGTACTGTCGGGTGCTTACTCTAGTGAAACAGGTCACAGCCATAACAGGGAGATGTCCCTGCCTGACGCTCTGAGGCTTTGGGGCAGTGGCTTCACATTGTGGCTGCCCATTTTGCTTGGTGGCTCGCAAGGGAGTAATTTGGTTTGAGGACTTTGAAATCTACAGATGCTACAGAGTGACAACCCACTGAAGTGCTTGGGGCCCCCAGGGGTGATTTTTACACCATTGGCTGGAAGCCAGGCAAGATAGGGGTGCGGAGCATTTATCCCGCTGGGAGCCTGCTGTACCCCTTCCTGCCCCGCCCTTCCTCCTGCAGATGCATTTCTGCCCTTTCCCTTGTGTCACTAGCCCCACCTAGTGGACTCTAGAAGTATTGCTATTTACGTTGGGGTGCTGAGGAAATTGGACACCTCCTCCTGAATACTTGGGGATGTTTTGGGTTTTTTTAAAAAAAAGAAAGGCCAAGGCTTCTGCTACTTGGCCCTGCTGATTTGTCCAGGCAGGTCCCCTCCCCTGCCAGGCTCCCTGTTGGAGCCTTGAGAACAGAGGGAACTTTTGGACCAAATCAGACTATTGTTCTAGATATTCAGATATTTGGCCTCTGGCATGGCCTGGCAGCTGAAACTTCCACACCCAAATATGCAGCCCACTCATGCCTGGAAGCCCAAGGTTTGGTCTTTGTATTAGTCAGGTTTCTCCAGAGAAACAACCAATAGGATGTATGTGTATTTATGTCTCTGTATCCATATTGTAAAGATACTTAATAGAAGGAGTTGATTCATGTGATTATGGAGGTTGAGAGGTCCCAATCTCTGCAGTCAATTTCCAGAGACCCAGGAGGGCTGATGTGTAGTTCCATCCCAAGTACAAAGGCCTGAGAACCAGGAGAGCCAGTGGTATAAATTCTAGTCCGAAAGCCAGTAGGCTCGAGGCCCCAAAAGGGCCAATGTTTCAGTTCAAGTCTGAAGGCTGGAGAAGACCAGTGTCCCAGCTCAAGCAGTTGGGAGGAGGACTTCCCGCTTCCACAGCTTGTTTGTTCTGTGCGGGTCTTAAATAGACTGGATGAGGCCACCCACACTGGGGAGGGCCACGTGCTTTACTCAGTCTGCCGATTCAGATGTTAATCTCATCCAGAAAGACCCTCACAGACACACTCAGAATGACGTTTAAATTAATGGCTGTGAGCCCCGTGGCCCGGTCAAGTTGACACATAAAATGAACCATCCCAGTCTTATTCTCTCAGCAGCCCAGAGAATGGAAAGAACATAAGCTTTGGATAGAGGAAAATCTATGACCCTTAGCTGGGAAACATTGCACAAGTGTCATTGTACCTCTGAGCCTCAGTTTCCTCATCTCTAAATAGCATTGACTACCCTGAAGGGTTGTTGGGAGGATGGACTGGGATAGCTCGGGTGAAGCCTTCAGCATCAGGCCTGGCTCACTGTGGTGCTCAGTTCTTGGCCACTGGGACCCACAAGACTTTTCTCATCAGCTTTTAGAGGTGTCGTGAGGCTTCTGTGAGATGGTGTTAGGCAGAATGCTCCATACGTTGTAAAGTCTATACACACGTTCAGTCTCCAGCTGGCGGAGAATCCAAAGATCAGGGTGGAAGTGAGTTGAAATAATCACCATTGTCCCTCTCATCTGCCTTCCCCTCCTCCTCATCAACACAGCTACTTAGACTTGTGCTGAGTCTTTTACTCACAATAGCCCCACGAGGTAGATCTTCATTTACAGTTGAGGAAACTGAGGCTCAAAGAGGTGATGTAATTTGCCCAAGGCCACACAGCCAGGGGGGTGTAGTTTACACTTGGGTCTTTCTGGTGCTGGAACTTGTGTGGTGCTGCCCTGTCTTGCTCGGATGCCCCCTCCCTTGTGAAGCTTTTACAGCCCATCACTGGTCCCTTTGCTGTTTGGGAGGTGTACGTAGTTACTTGCAGGGCACGTCTGCCTTGTGAGATCAGGAGCCCCAATCCCTGATCATCTCCGTGGTCCCCAATAGCAGCTGCCAGGTACCAAGGGGTTCTCAGCTGGTGTAGTGCTGGGTTGGCCATCGAGGAGGAAAGGGCAGCAAATGCTGTCTCGGGATACAGCTGGGAAGAATTGCTGCCCCCCTTCCCTTCCTTGGTCCCTTCTGAAAACTTGGGGCTTAGGATTTGAGGTTGAAGAACAAAGAGGTTGCTTCTGGGTGAATGCAGAGGCCGCATGGGAGCCAGGAGCCTTTGAGATTGTGTCCCACTCTGCCCCCTTCAGACTGCTTGATGCCTGGGTTGGCTGGACTACGGGATGCTCGCGGTGGAGCCAGAGACATCCTCTCTTCAGGTCGCCAACCTCCTAGTCTCAGCAGCCTTGCTCCTCATTTCTCTCCTTCTGGATCTTTGGTCTCTGCTGCAGAGAGGACACTAACTGGCTCCTCCTGTGTGCCAGGGGCTGTGCTAGGAGCCCAGGGGCTTCGTTGCCACCTAATCCCTCCAACCACTGGGGGACCCCTCCCCAATGTTACAGATGAAGAAACTAAGGCTCAGGGTGGCTCTTTGGCTTGTCCAAGTTGGGATGGAGGTAAGTGGAAGCAGGTAGACACGGTGCCTTGGTTGTGACCTGCAGCCCCTTCACAGATGGTCTTCCTTGTCCTCTCTGGCCCATCCCTCCTGTCTCACCTGGCTCGGATCTCCCTCACCTCTCCATACTGTCTTCTCTGATAACCACACCTGCCTGGCCTGGCTTATCCTTGACGCTCGCCTGTCCTGTCTGAGATCCCCTTCTCCCGCTAGCGTGCTGGGATCGTAGCTCATTTATGTACATCGCAGTTGCCAATAAGTCTACTCACAAAGTAATGTGTATTCAGTGATGGTTTGCTGATCTGCAGGTCCCAGGCACTGGGGGTATGAGGGTGAGCTCAACCAGACCATTCTCTGCCCTTGATGCCCTGGAGTCTTTGGGGAGGTGAGAGGGAGACAGGAGGAGGCTGACCCAAATAATTACACCAACAGTTGCTAAATTGCTCCTGAAACAAGTGCTGCGAAAGCCACTAAGATTATCCTCAGAGGTATTCAACTGCACAGGTAACACCCCCCCAACAGGGCAGAGGCTGGAGGGCCTCTGGCTTTGTGTTCTCCCAGCCGGGCAGGTTCTTACCCCAGGGACTCTATTTTCTGTCGTTGTCACCTAGGTTTTCTACTAGCAGTTGCTAGCGGGTCCAGAGCAACTTTCTTTCAGATGGAGGATGCTTTTGTTGACTTTCTACCCAGCAGGGTCTATGGACCAGTTGCTTTTGTCTGGAAGGCCACACAGAACCCTCACCCCTGGCCTGTGTGGCAGAAAGAAGAGAAAGACTAGAACCATTTTCATAGCACTTACTAAATGCCAGGCACTATTATAGCACTTTATTTTAGTCCTCACCACAACCTTGCAAGGTAGGTACCATTATTTCCCCATTTTACAGATGTGGAAACTAAGGTGCAGAGAGGTCACAGAGCCGCCTGGGATGCTCAGAACAACTGCCCTCCGTGAGTGTCCTTGCTTTGCCTCTTTCTGGCTGTGTGACTTGGGCAGCACATTGAGCCTCAGCTGTAAATAGATATGAATACCTCCTATTTGGGTTTGTTTTGTTTTGTTTTGTTTTGTTTTTTCCGTGGCTGGCCAGCACTGGGATGAATACCTCCTGTCTGGAAGGGCTGCTGCAAAGACCAAATGATATAAACTATTGTGAAAACGCTTAGTGTGGAGAACCTGCCCCCGAGGTGATGGTTGAATCTGAATGTCTCCAAGGATGTGAACCCAGTGCTCTTATGGGCCCCTAGCTCTGGCTGCCCTTGGGCTTTCCCCTCCCTGCTCTAGTCCTGGCAGGCTGGCTCAGCTCCCAGCAGCGTTCCTGCAGGCCAAGGCCCCTCCAGAGGGCACCACCACGGGGAATTCAGGGAGAAGAGAGGCAAAAGAGGAGAGCCCAGTGTCTGGGAAAGAGCTTTAGACTTGATTTGGGCCATTTCCCACTTTGCCACTATCTGCCCTTCCTCCCCTGACCCCCCACTGTGAGGGTAGCCCCTTAAAGCCCGAAGCCTACCTTGCTGGACATGGACCCACGGACCCTACTATTCGTCCATGTATGAAATACACCTTATAGGGCCGCCCCGTGGCTCACTCGGGAGAGTGTGGTGCTGATAACACCAAGGCCACAGGTTCGGATCCCATATAGGGATGGCCGGTTTGCTCACTGGCTGAGCGTGGTGCTGACAACACCAAGCCAAGGGTTGAGATCCCCTTACCGGTCATCTTTAAAAAAAAAAAAAAAGAAATACACCTTATAAACTGAATTGCTCTACCAAAAAGGAGGCATAGCTGTCATTACTACCAGGATGCACATTTGAAAGGAGTTCAGACAAAGGAACTAGACTGCCTGACTGTGAATGCCCACTGACCACTCATTAGCTCTAGGCCTTCAGCAGATAAATGAGCCTTTGTGCCTCGTTTTCCATCTGCAAACTGGGTATACTCTCTTCCTGGGGTTGTTGTGAGTATTGAATGAATTTGTATATACACCTATTAAAACAGAGCGTAAGTGTTAGCTAATACTGTTATTTTCTCTAGTGCTGGGAGAGAAGACAGGTTAGGGCCTAATTATTTCTGACAACACACCCTTTCCCTGAAGTTTGGGGAGGTGCCTGTCCTCATCAGGACATGCCACTCTTAGTTTCCAACCTGCAGTCACTGGGCCTCCTGATGTGGGCAAAGATAACAGATTTAGGAGCCAAGACAGTTCCTCCCTGCCTTGCCTTTCTAACAGCTCATGCCCCAAAGGTAAAAACTGTGAGGCTAGAGCCCCCAATCCTGAGGTGCCCCAGGACAGGTCCCTCCTCTTCCCACAACTTGTTCATCCAGGGCCCTGCTTGGTTCTTTCTTGAGCAGAGGCCAGAGAGAGGGAGTGGGGGAGGCACTAGTTGGGAGGCCAAGTCTGTGGCTGGAGGGCTCAGGAAGAGTGGGCAGGACCTCCCCAGCCAAGCCTCAGATGATGAAGCTCAGAGAGAGAGAAGGAATCAAGCCCTCCCTCCTCTGCTCCAAGAGCTGGGAGCCCTCCCTTCTCAGCTACCAGGGAGCTAAACCCTCTGCTCTTCAGGGTGGTCTGACAAAGCGGCTGGCTCAAAGGAGAAGAAAATCTGTCCCTTCCCTGCTTGCTCCCCCTCCCACCCCATTCCTACCCCTCTGCTCCTAATGTGCTTGTCTATTTTCAGCTTAACACTTCCTGATATGCACAGGGCTGGGTGTGTGTACCTAAGACTGTGTACACACACAGGCAGACAGGGACTCCACATAGGAGCCTCCGTTCCTGCCTCCTGGGTTGCTGGCTGGGGTGAGGTTTGGTAATCTCCTATAATCCTCCTGATTCCTGGTGGGCTCAGACTACAAGTAAGGTCTGGGAGCCTGGGCCGAGGTGGGGGTGAAGGAAGACAAAACCAAATGCACTGTAGTCTGCGGCCATACCACCCTGCATGCGTGTGACCTCGTCAAATGTGTTGTGATGCCACATCTCCCGAGCTCTGGGTCATGAGCTCAGGTGCTGCATCTTGCCTGTGCAGGGACCACAGGGTGCAGGGCCATTGCCCACAGCCCCTCCCACCACAGCCTCACCTGACCTCCTCTCTTAGGCTCTTATTCTGGCAGTTTGCTGTGGAGTTCATAGTCCTGCTGCGCGTCAGCTTCCTTATCTGTAAAACAGGTTAATGAGGAGTAACTGAGGTGACAGGTTAGCAAATGTGCCTGGCAGCTGCCAGGCCTTCTTGGGCAGGAGGTGGGTACAGCTCCAAAATTCAGTGATTGGAAGCTCATTCCATGTGCATGGGCGGTTGGACTTACTCAGTGGTAGGCCTCACGGTGCATGATCAGGCACGGACCTGGCTGTTTCACTGGGGACTTCAAATTGTCAGTATCCCTAGATCTGTTCTTCTGGGCTAGGTCTTCTCCTGGACTGGGGGCTGTCACCTGGCTCCATGGGTTAAGGAAGGCAGTTCAGGGGTCTGGCAACTCCTTGTACAAATTTCCGTGAATCTTTTGCCTCATAGTGCTACTGAGGTGAATAACAGTAGTTGTTTTGGAGGGGCTAGTGTTACTAACATTTCTTAGTCACTTCATGTGGAATTCCTCTAATTTTGTTTTCACTTGTCTTTATTAGACATTTATGTATTATAAAAGTGCAATGTTCTTATTGCACAATTTTAATAATACTAAAATGTATTTTTTTAAAAAAAATAATCTCCGGTAGTGCCCCTGCATTCTTAGCTCCTGAAGTAACTTGTGTTAACTGACAGTTGTGTATCTTTCTGATACCTTTCTCACTATCATACAAACATACACACAGATGTTTGCTTCTGAAAATAAGAGGACTTATCCTCTACACATCTGTGGTTTGCTTTAATCACTCAGTACATCATAGACATCTCTCTAGGTTAATAGAAATAATACTAATTCATTCCTTTTAATAACCAAATACTATTTAATAGTATGGTTATGGGAGGGTACTTCAAAAAGTTTGTGGAAAAGTAGAATTAAAAGCTAATAAGGATCTTTCCATGAACTTTTTGAAGTTCCCTTGTATCATAACCTTTTATACTATTCAAATGTTTCCAATTTGGGGGCGGTGGGGTTCCCTGGTGTTTTTGTTCTTGTTGTTTGTTTTTTACATTTTTTAAAAAATGCTTCAATAAATATCCTTTCATATATTTCCTTACACACTTTTATTTCTCCTTTGCTTTCTCAAATCTCAGAATTGAAGTTTTGATTCATTTGTCGTTTGCTAAAGCACTCCCACTAGCATTTCCTTTCAGTAATATACCTGGTGGTTTACTGTCTCAGGGCTTATCTGTCCACAAATATGTTTACTCGGCTCCCAGATAGGTCAGACTACTAGAGACACTTAAGCAGTGGCATACCAGGTGCTGATGGATGGCTCGGTAGTTTTTCCTCTTATGGAGCAGGCATCACACCAGCTGCTAGACTGTAAGCTCTCTGCTTCTAAGTTTCTGTGGCTGTGTGTAGCCATCCTTGCCCAGCTGCAGAGACTGGGAGCAGTTCAGTCCGTCACACTGCAGCCTCTGTACGTGTAGATCCAGGCTTCCACTGTCTGGTCTCCACAGGAAACAATGAAACCTAGATATTTGCCCCAGGCTTGAAGAAGAATCTAGGCTTCCCTGCCATTAGTTCCTTGGTTCCCTCCTTGCTTGAGAGAGTGTAGCCCTCCGCCTGGCTTTCTTCCTGGAGATCTCAAGGGAACTTGGGACCTCAGATTGACCCTTCCCAGCACGTCTGCTTTTGTTCTTGTGTTACTGCGTGGAGGAAAATGGGCCAGAGATGAGGTACTTCCAGAGTCTAAATGTCTATTGCTTTTTTGTCTTTTTAACGTTTCATATATTTTCAGAATTGCTCAACAGTATTCCATTTCCTATTGCTTTTTATAATGTCAATATCTAAACGACTCCCCTGTGTGTTATATAGCAAGATGGATACTGGCCCTATCCTCTAGGATTCTAATGTCCAGAGAAATAAGACTATGGAAAATAAAAACCTGGAAGTGATAGCTAAAAGATGTTAACTTAGATTCTTTTAAACAAAACATCAAAGTTGTCACATGGAAGAGATTGTCTTCTACAAAGAGCGGCTTTTTCCTTTCTCTCAGTCATGTTTACTGAATCAGTGACCTTTGTCGGCTGCCTTGCAGGCCCAGCGTAATGTTTCATGTGTGTCCCAAAATCTGCATAGTTGATTCTCAAGCAGAATTTTGGAACATAATCTCTTCATAAATTGAAGGCTGGTTGTATATGAATATTTGGTGATATCTTACACTTTTTGTTCTATTTTTATGATTATAATTCCCTACTTCCCTGTAATAGTTTTTCCTGATTAAGCATCTTTTAGTCGCTGACCCCTTTTAAAATCATTTTAAGAAGCTTGTACTATGTGATCAGTGGAGTCATTCTGAAAAAGGACAGTGGGAAAGTGTCCTGGGAAGTGATCCCCCCCATACCCCCATTTTCCTGCCCAGTGCTTTTCAAGATGATGTTGTTCAGTGTAGTTTTCCGCTCACTTTTAAGGGTATGGTGGATCCATGCACGATAATCTTAAATGCCAATTTAATTGTCTCTTTTTCCCCCTTGCAGCATTGCTATGGCAACAAAAGAAAATATCACTTCAGAGAGAGGAATGTTAAAGTCAATTCACAGCAAAATGAACACTTTGGCCAGTATCCTTTCTAAATGTTTGAAATTTGTGTTTGGTGTGGGGTGAGGGGGCAGGAATGTATGTGTGTGCTTTTTGTCTTCTGTCATGTTGCCATCATCAGTAGCAGTAGAGCCCATCGGTAATTACATAATATGAGTAAAGATGCTGCTCGACTTACAGCAGCGTTACATCATGATAAACCCATCGTAAGTTGAAAATGTTCTAAGTTGAAAGTGCGTTTTTGACTTAAACTTATCATAAATGGAAAATATCTTATCTCAGTGTAGCCCCATTGTAAGTCGAGGAGCTTACTAAACGAGAATTGCTTTCTCACCATCATAAAGTCAAAAAATCATAATTTGAACCATCGTCAGTCAGGAACCATCTATGTGCTGTGCATTCCTATGAGGGGACTTCAAAAAGTCCATGGAAAGATTCATATTATCTTTAATTCTTTTTTCCACAAACTTCTTGAAGTACCTTCGTACTTTGTGAAAGTTCCTGGTGTTTAGTTCCATTTCTAAGACTGCACACCAGAGGTTTAATACTAGTAGATTTAGAAAAAAACTATAAATGTGAATTCTAAAATTATTCACAAAATTGTTTTACACTTTAAAAGCTCTTCAATCCACATTAGAACTCCACAGTATATATTATTCTTACCTGAACATCATAAATTACATGCCTTTTCTTTCTTTTTTTTTTTTTTTTCTACTTTGGGGAATAAGTAAGTGGCAGGTGCTTGGAAGGGGGAAGGAAGGAGACAGCCACAAATGTAGATGAGATGAGTTGCAACTGCTGATAAGCAGTGTGACTTCATGCACAAAATGGATTCTAAGATAGATTCCCTACTTGTCTGTTGTGTCCTCTGCTTTTTCAACTTCCCATTGTAATTTAGGATTCCTAATACTTCCAAGAAACCCAATAGGGAAACTGATCAGCCTTCTACTCTGAAACGTTTTATTTACTCTCTGAAAAGACAAGCCTTTTAGGGAAAAAAGTTTTCTTCCCCAACTACTAAAGGGGGAAGGACGTATAATTTTCAAAAGCTGAGTACCTTTCTGGTCCTCGATCATTTAAGGTTACTTTTATTTAGTTTGATATCTGTTTGCCTAAGGAAAAGACTGTCCTGGAGCTTGTTGGTATTTTCCAGTCTTTTGTGAATTTCGTTCTTGCCTTGTCACCCCGTATCAAACCACACATTCAGTATCACTTATGTTTTATATAGCACTATACAGTTGACAGAGTACTGTTATATACATTATCTGGTTTTATCATTTCCGCAAAAGAGAGAATGTAGAAATTATTGTTGTTTTGCAGAAGTGGCTTGGCCCAGGTCCACAGCTAGTAAATAGCAAATTAAAGATTCAGATTTTCCATTGCTTTTTCCATGAAATCGTGTTGTCTTTCTTAAACTATGAACTTAGTTACTAGCAGGAGCAAAGGCTCCTTGGTGAATATAAATGTGTTTAGTGAAACCTTTGAAACTTTGAAATAGAAGTAGGGGGTGGATAGCTGGGTTATTTAAAATACTAATTGAAGATTCTCCCAATTGTCCACTAGAATTTGTCACCACTCTTCCTTGTGCCTTCTTCTCTACTCTGTACTTATTTCTCCCCTACTAGAACCTAAGTTCTCTTAAGGCAAAGCAGTACCCCAGAGCCCAGTGTAGTGCCTGGCACAAATGAGCCACTCAGGAATTTTACAATCATTCCTAAAATATGGGCATCCAAAAATCAAACAAAGTGGGTTTGAGTTAGTCAGGACTGCATAGAGGAAGTAACAGAAACCTAATTCAGACCGACTTAAGGGAGAAAAGGAGGGAATTAATTTATTCATACAACTGTAAAATCAAGGGGTAGAATTTGGCTTTAGGCATGGCTAGATTCAAGGGCTCAGATTTTATCATCAAGAATTTGCCTTTTCTCTCTCTTTTCCCCTCCCTTCCCCATCTTTTATCTTGGCTTTCCTCTGTGCTAACTTCATTCCCAGGCAGCCTTTCTCCTCATGGTGATAGAAATGGCTGTAATACCAGCTCAAAAATCCCCAGGGAAAAAGGGTGTTTTCTAACAGCTGTTCCAGAAGTAGTTAGTACTTAATATTTTTACTTAGTATTTCAAAATATCTTCACACTCTTACTCGTTTATATGTTGTAGACCAAAGTGCTTATATTGTAGACCAAAGAGGACTGTGATTGCCTGAGTCACTGCTCATTCCTAACCCAGTCACTGGCCAAGGATGGAATATTCTTACTGGCCAATTCTGGGTTTGTATGTAGACCCAATGGTAGAGGATGAGATCAGCCCCACCCTGTTACATGGACTGAACTAGATTATTATGGAAGGGAAAAGGGCTGGTTCCCTAAAGGTAAACTGGACAAAAGTATGTCCACTATAGACAGGATTTCCTGATGCCAAAATTTACATATGTGCAGTGGCTTTGTTAATCCTTTCACTAAGCAAGGAGAAATTAAGCATTTTCTCTAGATTAAGTTTTTACCTTGTAAAATTTTTGTTCATTAGTTCAATACTTGCTTCCTGTTCTACATTTTTTAAACTGTTTCTGCAAATTGTTTTTTTTAATTCATTAATTTTAAAACATATTAATGCCTACAGAGTGTAACGCTCTATTCTAGACAAAGAAGGGACTTCAAGATTAGAAGGCATGGTTGTAATTATACAATATGTAGAATATATAAGTACACGAGAAATATAGTCCCTGGTGAGACTCATTTTGTTACAGGAAAACACATTGAGAATTTGCAACGAATGGGGATTGTTCCACCTTTTTAGTATCCGGGGTGGTTTTTGTTGTTGGTTTATCTGAACTTGATATAATACTTCTGTTAACAAAGAGGATGCACCTGCAGGCATACTCATGTTGTCAGAAACCATTGCAAGAAATACAAAACAATATAAGCACTTTGGTCTACAACATATAAACAAGTAAGAGTGTGAAGAAGTAAAATACAGTTGTGACTGCTATAAAACCCCTAAAATCCAAAATTTTCTCTTTGCTTTTTTTATGTTCCCCAAATAGGACAGCTAGAGCAGTTTAACCCACTTTCTTACTATATCCTACCTACTGCTGCAAAGTAAATTTTAAAATTTAAATAATTCACAAGTGCATGTTTATATAGATCCTAGAGTTGGTTCCCACCAGTTGCCAGAATCCAAGGGGTGTTATTACCCTGTGGAGAGAGAATCAGGTATTTCTTCAAAACCCTCGGGCAAAACTCCCCAGTCTCCTGAAAGGAGGAGTTAAAAAAAGAGAGAAAGAGAAGGAGGAAAGGGAGGGAAGTGGATCAGGGGTCAGTGGTGGTTGTAGCTGCTGTACGTGTGTCTCCATGCCCTGCCGAGTTCCTCTCTTCCTGACCACACTGGCTCCCACCCTGACCTGAAGCCTGGCAGTAATGCCTCAGTGCATGGGAGCTGTCATCATTATTATCTTCTTCTCCTGCTATCTCTATTAAGTTTTTTCTTTTCATTATTCATATTTGTGTACTACACACAAGAATAGGAGACTTGAGTAACAGCTTTTGGCAAGGCTTACAGGGGTAAATGATAAAATGGCAGAATATACCAACAGTGCAGGTGTCCCTTCCTTGAATGCAGCACTGATGCATACATTACAGCGACACAGAGACATATTACAGGATTATACTCATGAATTCCATAAAACCAAAGCAAACTTTATGGCAATACGGGAAAGGGAGAATCTCATGCGATCAGTACGAAAGGATATTGAGTCATATAAAAGTGGGTCCGGAGTAAACAACAGAAGAACTGAACTGTTTTTAAAAGAACATGACCACCTTCGAAACTCAGATCGTCTGATAGAAGAGACAATAAGCATTGCTATGGCAACAAAAGAAAATATCACTTCACAGAGAGGAATGTTAAAGTCAATTCACAGCAAAATGAACACTTTGGCCAATCGTTTTCCTGCTGTGAACAGCCTGATCCAGAGGATCAACCTTAGGAAACGGCGCGACTCGCTCATCTTGGGTGGTGTTATTGGTATCTGTACCATCCTATTGCTGCTGTATGCTTTTCATTGATGGGACATTCCAGGGACTCTTGACAACCACCATTTTCATGCCTTGATCTGGAATAAGGAAAACTAGGAGGGAGAAATTGTCCCGATAATTAGCCTGACCAGCAGGATGAATTCGAGACTAATAGTGATGGACTTCTTCCCAGAGAGCCCCAAAGCCAAGCCTGACAAAGCACATCACCACGGATCCTCAATTAGTACCATCTGAACAAAGGCGCTGGGACCTTTCCTTTCCAAGTGGAATGGGTTTGACGAGCCACCACTCCTATTTCATCTCTCCTTTCACTGCAAACGGATCTGAACCTCTGCCCCAACTCTCCCTCGTTTGATATCAGAGATGCCTAGAAATAAACAGGTGGCTAGAGAATCTCACTGAAGACGTTTTCTATCAGGACATTTTTTTCCTTTGTTTCTCTAAAGCACACGCCAGGAGAAAGGCAAGTATCTTCCTCTTTGTGAAGACACAGATTTGTGTGCCTGAGTTGAAACAGGAAGAAATGCACTTTAGCCTGATGGTTTCCACTCTGCTCAACTTGGCTAAGATTTCCCACTTCAACAGAGCTGCTCAGCTTGCAAAGCTCTCTTTTATTAACCCTCTGAAGACACTTAAAAGCTAAGAAGGTTGGGTGCTGAGAAGTGCAATGCTCAGTGTAGAGGAATCCCAGAGGTCACTTGACAGTGTTCTCTTCACTCTCCTAAAATCATCTTTTAATCTGTTTTCCTGACTTGTAGTATTCAGTTTCCTTCCTTTGAGAAAAAGCTGTTAGAAAACAGTTACTTAACTGGTACGTTTCCTTTATATATTTTCAAACATCTGATGAGTCTTTTACTGAAATTGCTTACAGCTTGAGGAGAAGCAGGCAAATATGGTTGGTAGCTCTTTTTAACCCAGTACCAAAAAAGGTATGGTTTAAACATAATCATCTTCTCTGAAAGTGACGAGTTATCTCTAAATGAATATGGCACTGTGTGTTTTCACCCTGGAATTGGTCCTCAGTCCTCTCTGTGTCCCTCCCTGTCCCCCATTGCATATCCCACAAGCTGGGGCCCTGTTGTTCATTACCTGGCTGCATGTGGCGGCCACCTCTGAGCTAGTGCCCTGCCTCTCATCTAGCCCCTCTTGATGCCACCCTGCACATAGCTGCCTAGCCTGTCTTCCTAAACAACTTACAACCTGTCATCACTCTGTTCAAGAATATTGTAGTGAGTTAACCCATGCAATGTATGCCCAGCACTTTGATTATACATACATACATAAAACACCCCCACACCCACACGCAAATAAAATCCTATTCACTTAATGAGGTAGTGTTCTCCTTTTACAGATAAAGAAACAAGCCCAAGAGATGAAGTACTTTGCTCAAAATCACAGTCCTCCTGATAGCAATCAGTTGCCCTTTTCCTAACCAAGGTTTCCCATCATGAACTGTAAGCAGGGCTGCCTGGCGCAGTGGAAAGAATGACGCTGCCTGGTGCAGTGGAAAGAATGATGCTTGGAGTCAGGTGTCCTAGATTCTGGTGCTGGATCTAATACTTTTAGGCCATAGGCAAGTCACTAAATCACTCAAGTTGTTTTCTTATCTTCAAAATGGACTCCAGCAACGTAATGCATTTGTAGAGCTCAAATGAAACAGAGGATTATGATCGTACAAAATTCCTCAGAATGTTCTTGAGAAATAATGTGGGGCCAGCGGGTATTTTCCATTAGACTGCAAGTCCCTGGAGAGTCAGGGCAGTGTTCTGTTTGTCTTCATATCATGTGTATGAACTTTGTGCAGAAACTTTATATAACTCTTCTAAACCAAGTTAAACCTGACTCAGAACCCCTATCCTACTGTGCTGGGGGAAAAAAATAAATCAGTAAATCTTGTTTATACTTGAATCTCCTTCCTTTCACCAGTTGAGCTGTGCAAAGCTCCCAAGAGTCTTTCCCAGTCCAGAACATTTGGGGCAGACACTCTTATCCACACTGGACCCCATGGAGATGCTCGCTATCTGAGCCGTGTAGTCACTAGAAGCCACAAGTTTCTCTACTTCTGTGCCACCTTTGGGCACAGGGATCTTTGCCAAGGAGCCCATGGGCCTGGGGTTCCCTCGTACACCCCATCCCAAAACCATTCCCCTGAGGTGCTGCCACTCCTGGGGCACTGTGAGGGAGTGGGACACTGGCAGGGAGCAAGGCACAAGCTGATTCCCGTGGCTTCTCCCCCCACCACTTCCCAGCCTCCCAGGAAGCTCTCCTGCAGTGCCCTTGGTCTTCTCACCTTCCTCCTTTCTCCACCCCTTCTAGGAGGAGCCACTACTCTAAGAAACAGAATATCGGTACCTCCTTTGTGGGGATGGGAAGGTAAAAGAGTGAGATGCTAACTCCCTCAGTAACTCATCCCAATGGTGGTGCCCTTAGCATGACACATAGTAGACATTAAGTAGTTGAGTTAATGGGGGAAGGAATTTTTTTTTTTAAATGCTACAAAATTTCAACATCAGTTTGCTCACATTCGTAAGCTTAGGACCTAAAGCCACCCTCACTCATCACAGGAAAAGAAAGTTGAGAGGCTGGACTGTTGTACAACAGTGAGGCGGTAGTTAGTGAAGAGGCAAGAGCATTTGACGATGTTCCCTTCCAAGCACGACAGCCATGACACTTTAGCATATGGCAACTGGATCCTTCCATTTCTCTTTCTCTTCAGAGGTGGTCCTGTGTCATGTCCTGTTGTCTCTTTAGAGCTCGGAGGGCATGTCTCCCACTGCACCATGTGATTTACCCTCTTCTTTGGAACTGGGGGGTACTGGGTCAGAGTCCTGCCAGTGATCTCCATCGGGGGTGCCTCCCCCAGGGGACATTTGGCAATGTGTGGAAACATCTTTGGTTGTCAAAGCTGGGGTGGGGTGGTGTGGATGCTGCTGACATTTTGTGGATAGAAGCCAGAGGTGCTTCTAAATGCACAGGACAGCCCCCCACAGCAAAGTATTATCCAGCCCAGAATGTCAGTAGCATCAAGGTTGAGAAACACTGGCTCAAAGTGAATTCATATTAAAGTTGACAATATTCCTTTAGGGACTGTCTTAATTCATCTTTGTATTCTACAGTACAATGAACATAGTAGGTGCTCAATAACTATTGAAAAGAGAAAGAAATGGAAGGATCCAGTTGCCGTGTGCTAAAGTGCTGTGACTGTCGTGCTTGGAAGTGAACATTGTCAAATGCTCTTGCCTCTTCGTTAACTACTGCCTCACTGTTGTACAACAGCCCAGCCTCTCAATTTTCTTTTCCTGTGATCAGTCAAGTAAAGTAGGCACCTTGGGGGGCCGGCCCGTGGCTCACTCGGGAGAATGTGGTGCTGATAACACCAAGGCTACAGGTTCGGATCCCATATAGGGATGGCCGGTTTGCTCACTTGGGAGAGCGTGGTGCTGACAACACCAAGTCAAGGGTTAAGATCCCCTTACCGGTCATCTTTTAAAAAAAAAAAGTAGGCACCTTGGCACCCCAATTTCCCACAGCTATCTCAAGACAATCCTATTGCTGAAGAAAACTTTGGAAGCAAAAAGTGACTGCAAACCAGGACTGCGGTACCATCTCATAGGAGGGTGATCACCAAGAAAATCCCCTTTTGTGGAATTCACCTGCTTGGCAGGCCCTTTATTCCATGTGGAAGCCATCCCTCCCATTTCAGAGCAGGCAGGACTGGAGCCAGTGAGAGAAATAGGGCGATCTTATAGTATCTATCAAAATCATAAATGAACATAACCTTTGACCGAATGATTCCACTTCTAAGAATTTCTCTTGTAGATGTAAAAAGATAAAAGATATTCATAGCAGCTTGATTGTGAAAGGAAAGACTATAAATAACCTAAATGTGTGTCAGTAGGGGAATAGCTAAATAAATTATGTAAGTCTGTGTCATGGAAAAATAAGCAGCTGTTAAAAAGAAAGGTAACTTACTATATACTGACATGGAATTATCTCCAAGATATGTTGTTAAATGGGGAAAATGATATTGCCTGATGCACACACATACACACACACACACACTTTGTAAAAAATAGCTTTATTGAGGTATAATTAACATACAGTAAACTCCATATACTTTAAATGAACAATTATACCTAAGAAACTGTCACCATAATCAAGGTAGTGAATATATTCATCACCTGCTGCCAGATTATAGCAATAGCTACGCTAAAGCCAAAACGTTTCATTATTTTAGTTATGTAAGTTTCCATTTGTATTGTCTGGTCTAGGGGTTAGGACCCACAGACCTTTCAAACCCATTGTACAGACTGGGTCAAAGACCCCTCACATGCCAGGCTGGGTCACCAGACCCCTCACACGCAGGTCCACTCTAGGTAATTGGGAAAGATCCCGGGAGCCATTGGGAGATGACACGAGCTCAGTCCTCAGCAGCAGCAGCAGCTTACAGCAGGTCCGGGGCAGCAGCTGTGGCAGCCTTCTTGGGGCATCCCAGGGACACTAGCAACAGCAGCTTGCAGCACCAGTAACAGACTACCCGTGGTTCCCCCGGGGGCAGAGGGAACCCTGTGTATCAGAGCCGCTGGTACTTTATGCTTAAGTCCATAACCCAGGACATCTGGGTGCACATGTGCAATTACATTAGACAATAACCAAGGACCACCCGGGCACATGTGCATATTTACATCAAATGCTTGGCAAGACCCTGAACATCTGAGGGTCCCTGACCATTTTCCTTTACTTTCCCAAGACGCCCAAAAGTTACCTTGTGCCCCTTTGAAATCCCTCCCTCCAGCCCCTTCCTACCCCCTCATCCCCAAGCAACCACCACTCTGTTTTCTGTCACTATAGATTGGTTTGTGTTTTCTAGAGTTTTATATGAATGGAATTATGCAATATGTACTCTTGAGGGGCATGATTTGGCTTTTTTCACTCAATGTAAACATTTTGAGGTTCATCCATGCTGTTGTGTGTACCAATAGTCCATTCTTTTTTATTGCTGAATAGTATTCCATTGTATGAATGTACCACAATTTGCTCATCCACTTATCTGTTGTTGGTCTATTGATTTGTTTCCAGTTTGGGGCCATTACAAATAAAACTGCTATGGGCATTCATATATGTGTCTGTGTATGGACATATATTTCCTTTTTTCTTTGATAAATACCTACAAGTAGAATAACTAGATTATATGGCAAGTGTATGTTCAACTTTTTAGGAAACTGCCAAGCTGTTTTCCAAAGGGCACCATTTTATAATTGAGTGTAAGAGAGTTCCAGTTCATCAGCATCCTCACCAACATTTGGGATGTCTTTATTTTTAGCCAGTCTGTTAGATATGTAGTGATATCTCATTGTGGTTTTCATTTACATTTCCCTAATAACTAATTGTGTTGAGCATCTTTTCACATTTTTATTTTTCGTATGTCTTTTCTAGTGAAATATCTGTGTGAGTATTGTGTCCATTTTTTTTTTTTTTTTGTCTTTTTTCGTGTCCTGCAACGGATCGCAACCCTCAGTGTCGCGCCCGTACCGGACCGGGACCGGCAACGGGATCGCAACCCTCGGCGTTGCTCCCACACCTCGCTCAGCCAGTGAGCGGGAACCGGTCTGTATGTGGGATCCGAACCCTCGGCGGGAGCACCACCACTCTCCCAAGCGGCGCACTGTAGCAGTGCGCCACCGGGCCGGCCCGATTGTGTCCATTTTTCATAGGTTGTTTTATATGTAGAATATTAGGAAAGGTATTGTAGAAAATGGTACAAGCAGTTGCCTGGGGGGAAAAATGAGCTGACTGGAGCTCCCAGATGGGGAGGACTCAATTTTTCACTCTTCATAGACTGTATTTTTTAATCATTTAAATTATATTTTTTGGAAAGAGAAATAGGCTACTTTGAAAATGTTAGTATTGAAAGCACGTTTCTTAATGGATGGATGGAGACTGTTCTGTTTAGCCAAGAGCACTTCAGAAACTCCACACTGGCAGGCAATTGGAGCACTGAGCCATTAATGGAAATGTGAGCATTTTATATATCATATTCAATCATTTATGGTGGTGTGGATGGTTGGCAATGATGACATCGGGACCATGACTCCTCAGAGACCCCATCAAACAGTACTTGGTATTTATATTTAAGTGAATACTGTTTCAGCTTTTTAATTTCACGAAGGTGACCTATGCAGAGAAAACCCATGATTGGTTCTCCCAGCTTGTCTCTGATCAAAGGTTTTGTCAATTTCCCTTTCACAGCCCACTTTCTGTTTCCAGAACTGCTTTCCACCTGGCACATGATCCAGGTTTGTAGGTGTGTGTTGTAGACCCAAGGTAGGTAAGTGCCTCATCCAGATTCATGTCCTTTTAAGAAAGCAAGGGGGAGGGCCAACCCCGTGGTGCACTCGGGAGAGTGCGGCGCTGGTATCGCAGCAGCGCTCCCGCAGCAGGTTTGGATCCTATATAGGGATGACCGGTGCGCTCACTGGCTGGGCATGGTGCGGATGACACCAAGCCAAGGGTTGCAATCCCCTTACCGGTCACAAAAAAGACAAAAAAAAGAAAGAAAGCAAGGGAGAACAAACAAGAAATGTTTTATCTCCTAAGACTTCTTTTTGACTCTGTTCTGGTCCTGCTCTTTGATCTAATGCATTAATTAGTTCATAAAAGTTTCAGAGAAACTAAAATTCATCTCCTAGGCTGAGTTCTATCAGATTAATATTTAACTCCAAGGAAATATGGACATTTGCCTTAAAGAAGTTCTTTATCCCAGGGAAGAATCTATATTGTCATTATTCGAATGTCTGATTATAGTATGAAATTTTATTTCATCCTAAAACTCCCTACAAGTCCTCTTTTGAAAATGACACATTTTTATGGATCAATCCACTGATTCAGCATCTAAGCTTTTTTTAACTACATTTTTTCCAGACAATATTAATATGTATTTATTGTAGAAAATATGGATCAAATAGAAAAATACAAGGAAAATTATGTTTCCCCAACTTTTTTGTTTTAAATGTCTAAACACTTGCACACTTTTTTTTTTTTACAAAATTGGAGTCATATAGTACATACTGTCTCTGACCAGATTTTGTCATGTAATACAGCATGCACAGCTTCTCATGTCAATGAATTTTCATACGCAGCATGCTTTGCAATGCCTGCACTGAATTTTATTATGCAGATGCACACCCCACCTGATTAATTGTTCAAATATAACCAGCACCCTGTTTTTTAACTATAAAGTGGTTTCCACTTTTTATCCCATTATAAAAACTAAGCAACACTTGATTTTTCTTTTTAAAAATCTTGAAAGCAGGACATGTTCTGCCAACTCCCAGACTTGCTGTTGTCTGCAGCCTCCTCCTTTCTTTCTGGGTGTGTGTTTATTTTGTGAATTGAACCCAGTTGAGCTCTCCAGTTTGCCAAGAGGAATGTGTAGGCTATTTCTTGAATTTGTGGACATATGTTTCTGTTTAAAAGGGAGGCCAAGGAGGATGAACCCAGAGTGCAGAGAGTCACACTCACCCATTTAGAGTGGGCCAGGAATAGTTTTCCTAGAAGCAGGGTGGAGGGGGCCAGAACTAAATGTCCTCCGCCACAGGTTTCTTTTCCTTTTTGTCTTTTTTTTTTCATGTCCGGCAACGGATCGCAACCCTCAGTGTCGCGCCTGTACCGGACCGGGACCAGCAACGGGATCGCAACCCTCGGGGTTGCACCCGCACCTCGCTCAGCCAGTGAGCGGGAATCGGTCCGTATGTGGGATCTGAACCCTTGGCGGGAGCACCGCTGCGCTCCCAAGCGTTGCACTGTAGCAGTGCGCCACTGGGCCGGCCCCACAGGTTGCTTTTAAACTCAGTCTCATGGTCCCCCAGTATCACCTGTTCTTTGGAACACTCCACCTCCTGTTTGTTGATTCATTACTACAATCCTTCTCAATATTAGAATCACCTGCAGAAGTGGGGTTTAAAAAACAACAACAATGCCGGCATCTCCTCCCAGAGGTTTATGATCCAATTAGACTAGGGTGGAGCCCAGACATAGGGATTTTTTTTTTTTAAACTCTCTAGGTTATTTCAACCTGCAGCCAGTGTTGAGAACCTGTGCTTTATGGCTTTTTAGCCTCTGGTGGGGCTTGGGTTGCTGCCTTTGGCACTGAATAGTTTCAGGCCACAAGCTGCTCTCAGAGAGTCCCCTCTTCCCACCTGGCTCATGCAAAGTCATAAGAAGCTGTTTCAAAACTGCTGATACGTGTAGTAGGCAGGCAGTAAATGTTTGGTTCCCCCTTACTCCTTAGTAAGTTTGATATTTTTACCATCTTCGTGCCTGCCTTTCTGACCTTGTTGAATCACCCTTTGGACCTGAGTATTAATGAAATGTTATTGCAGAAGAGATTGAGAAAATTGGTATATCATGCATATATCATACAAAACTTTCTTGTAACATAAAAAATACAGTTTAATTATTGCTTGTGCCTCAGTTGTTTAAGTGAATATTAAAGGGCTTGGAGGAAAAAAAATGCTGATGCATGGAGGAACAGGGTATCCCAACTCTCACCAAGTGATTAGACTGAAAGATCAGCATTTTACTGCAGCTCGTCCACCTCTCCAGACAGCCAATTAGCCACAGAAACAGCAGACACTGCATAAAGGAGCTCTTTCAGGGCTGAGCTTTTAATGCCCAGAAGCACATTATATAGTAAACAATACCATGTTCACATCAGGCAAAAAGCATCTTGCTTCGGGTGGCAGTATTTGCTTCCTGGAGAAAGGGGGCCTCACCTTGAACCTGGAGCTTGGCAGCACCTGGATTGGTTGAGAAAGGGGATGAGCATGCCTGGCATTGTGGGGAGGCAGCCAGCTATGGAGGAGGGAGCATCAGACCCAGAGACGTGGGTCTGAATCTCATCTCTAGTTTTGCCAAGCAGCGTGACTATACAGTTAATCCAGCTAATGGTCCATTCCTTCTCTATAAAATGGTGATAAAGGTGGCTGCCATAATTATGCTCTATTTATGTTGTCAGGATTATGTGAGGTTAATGCTTAGTATATTAACAAAGTCAGTGGGGCTGACCTGGTATAAGAGAGATTTTTGTTTGTACTAATGGTCAGAAACCAGGCCTCTCATGCCTCCTTAGTCCCCTCTCTTGCTGACGTGGGGGAGGAAAGAACACTGGAGAGGTGATCAGTAGACATCTTCAACTATAATGGGACAGCTTAGAGGAAAAATGTGAGACGTTCTGTGTGGACAGGCAAGGTGGAGCCCACACACCAGTAGTTTAACAAGCCTCCAGGTGATTCTGAGGCACACTGAAGTTTGAGAACCACTGCTCTATAGTATATTACATTGTATGAATATGCACATTCTATTTAGACATCCTATTATAGATGGATAGCTTTTAATTTTAGTTTGGAACTGTTACAAGTCACGTTCTTTTTTTCTTTGGGTGGCTGACCAGTATGGGGATTCAATGCTCTGAACATTCTTGAACATGGATTTTGGGACACATATGTATACTTCTCTGTTGGTTATATATACCAAGGAGTAGAATTGTTGGGTTATAGGTTATGTGCATATTCGGTTTTAGTATATACTGTCAAACAGTTTGCCAGAGTGATTGTACCAATTTCCATTCCCACCAGCAATGTAGGAATATTCCAGTTCCTTCACATCCTCACCAACACGTGATGTTGCCAGTCTGAATTTGCATTTCCCTGTGATGACTAATGAGATTGAGCATTTTTATATGCTTATTAGCTATTAGGATATCCTTTTTTATGAAATGCCCCTTCAACTTTTTGCATATTTATTAATTGGATCATCTGTCTTTTCCAATTAATTTTTCCTTTGTTAGATAAATATATTGCAAATATACCCTCCTATTCTGTGGCTTGTCTTTTTTACTTTCTTAATGGTGGTTTTGATTAGTAGAAGTTCTTCATTTTGATGTAATCCAATTTATCCATTTTTTTTTTCCTTAATGGTTAGTGTTTTTGTATCCTGTTGAGGAATCTTTGCCTACCCCGAAGGCCATGAAGATATTCTCCAATGTTTTCTTCTAGAAGCTGTATTGTTTTGCTTTTCAGTTTAGAACTATAATCATTTTACAATTGATTTCCATGTGCGATTTGAGCCAGGGGTCAAGATTCATTTTTCCATGTGGATATGCAGGTGATTGGGCACCATTTGAAAAATCCATCCTTTCCTCACTGCACTGGAGTGTCAATTTGGGTATGAATCAAGCAACTCTATACATGTGGGTCTTTTTCTGGATGCTTCATTATTTTCCATTAGTCTGTTTTTTACCCTGAGTCAATACCAGTCTATCTTATCATAATTTTATAATAAGTCCTGATATCTGGTAGTATAGGTCTCACAGATTTGTTCTTACTCAAAGTTGTCTTGGCTCTTCTTGGTCCTTCACATTTTTATATAAATTGCAGAATCAGTTAGTCAGCTTCCAAGAAAAATGTGCTGGATTTTGATTGGGATTATACTGAATATATGGATCAATTGGAAGAGAATTAACATGTTTACAATATTGAATCTTCTAATCTGTGTCCATGGTATTTCCCTCCCTCCATTTATTTAGGCCACTTGCTGGCAGATCCTGATGTCTGTCTGATCAGTGTCCATATGCCCATTCTCTTTCTATCCTCCCTGTCATTGGGGACATTGATCAGGATATAAAACTGTGGGCTTACACCTTACACTCATTAGGATGTCTACTGTCAACAAAACAAAGTAAAAAGTGCTGGTGAGAACGTGGAGAAATCGGAACCTTGATGCACTGTTGGTTGGAATATAAAATGGTGCAGCCGCTATGGGAAATGGTATGGTGCTTCCTCAAAAAATTAAAAGTAGCATTACCGAGTTGCCCTTCACCTTTGCAGCCACCGCCATCTCCTCTGATCTGCGAAAGTCATGTTACCCAACACCGGGCAGCTAGCAGGATGTACAGTTTTTATCACAGGTGCAAGCCATGCATTGGCAAAGCTATTGCATTGAAAGCAGCAAAGGATGGAGCAAATATTGTCATTGCTGTGAAGACTACCCATGCACACCCAAAACTTCCAGGCACAATCTATACTGCTGCTGAAGAAATCGAAGCAGCTGGAGGAAAGGCCTTGCCATGTGTTGTTGATGTGAGAGATGAACAGCAAATCAGTAATGCAGTGGAGAAAGCATGAGAGAGATGAAGTCAATAAAGTCTGGATTTGCCCAAGGTGTCCACTGATTGGAATAATCCTTACTAGCTTCATTTGCTACCCTACTGTGTATGGTAATTCTGCACAAGTGGTGTATATACCCGAATTGATGTTTTGGTGAATAATGCCAATGCTATTAGCTTGACCAACACATTGGAAACACCTACAAAGAGAGTGGATTTGATGATGAATGTGAACACCAGAGGCACCTACCTTACATCTAAAGCATGTATTCCTTATTTGAAAAAGAGTAAAATTGCTCATATCCTCAATCTCAGCCCACCATTGAACCTAAACCCACTGTGGTTCAAACAGCACTGTGCTTACACAGTTGCTAAGTATGGTATGTCTATGTGTGTGCTTGGAATGGCAGAAGAATTTAAAGGCGAAATTGCAGTCAATGCATTATGGCCTAAAACAGCCATACACACTGCTGTTATGGATATGCTGGGTGGATCTGGTATTGAAAGCCAATGTAGAAAAGTTGATATCATTGCAGATGCTGCATATTCCATTTTCAAAAAGCCAAAAAGTTTTACTGGCAACTTTATTTTTTATTTTTTTATTTTTTTATTTTATTTTATTTTATTTTTATTTTGTCAATATACAATGTAGTTGATTATTGTGTCCCATCACCGAAACCTCCCTCCGTCCTCCCTCTCCCCACTCCCACCCAGGTGTGTCCCCTCCATTTTCTTGTTGTAAGAACTTCAAAGAAAAGTTGTGGTTGTTATATCTTCCTCTCCCCCCCCCGGTTTTTTTTGTTTTTGTTTTTGATTTTGGAATGGGAAACGGCATACCGAATATGTGTTTTATGAATTGAGTTAAGGTTTCTAAAAATACTTCAGGGACTATGGTAAGCCTCCTCTCATTTAGTCCTCATAGTAATTCTATGTGATGGTGTTATTTCCCCCATTTTACAAATGAGGAAGCAGATTTAGAGAAGTTAGGTAATTTGCCCAGGTTTCCCAGTTGGTGAATGGTAATAAAGATGGTAGTATTTCATGTGTGTGATGGTAAGAGCTTGGATTTGATATCTTTGTATATAATTATTTGTTGAACTGAATTGTAGCCGTAATAACTTCGTATAGCATACATTATACGAAGTTATACGGCAGTATTTCATTCGTTTTTATAGCTGAGTAGTATTCCATTGTGTAGATATACCACATTACTGGCAACTTTATTATTGATGAAAATATCTTAAAAGAAGAAGGAATAAAAAATTTTGACGTTTATGCAGTTAAACCAGGCCATCCTTTGATACCAGAATTCTTCTTAGATGAACACCCAGATACAGTTATGAAGAAAGTAGAATCACATGAATTCAAAGAAGAGAAACCACAGCCGCAACCAAAACCACGTTCTGGAGCCATGGAAGAAACATTTAGAATTGTTAAGGACTCTCTTAGTGAAGATATTGTGAAAGCCACTCAAGCAGTCTATCAGTCTGAGCTCTCAGGAGAAGATGGTGGCACGTGGTTTCTTGATCTGAAAAACAAAGGCGGGAATGTTGGGTCCGGAGAGCCCTCTGATCAGGCAGATGTGGTGATGAGTATGTCTACTGATGATTTTGTAAAAATGTTTTCAGGGAAACTAAAACCATCAATGGCATTCATGTCAGGAAGATTGACGATTAAAGGAAACATGGCCCTAGCAATCAAACTGGAGAAGCTAATGAATCAGATGAATGCCAGACTGTGAAGGCAAGAAAAGAAAATGTTTACTGCTGTGCTCAAAAAGTAAAAAACTCAACAGTTAAAGTCTTATGTTTGTTTTCTTCACTAGTGTATCAAGGATATGTATGTTTGTTTTGGAAAAAAAGTAGAATTTCTATATCATAAGACTTGAAAATGTAATTAAAACAGCTAGCTTATTAAACATAAGCTTCATTAAGTGGAATTCTAACACATTCTGTTTTTTATAGTTCAGGGGTTTTGCCCTCTGAGCCTTATATCTCACTTGCTGTCTTTCAAGAAGAGTATTATGAGCAACCAATCAGGGTCAAGCAATAAAATCAGCTCTTTTCAAAGCTTATTCTCATGTAAAATGAAGCTAGTCTGTTTTTAAATTTTTAGTTATAGATTGTATAATAATGAAAACTTTAATAATGTTTTGGATTTTTATATGCTTATTTTAAAGGAAATCTCTACAGTGTATTTCACAGAAATCGCATAATAAATACTTAAATACTTGTGAAGACTAAATGAAACAAAACAGTTTTTCATTTTGTTAACTACCTTTTCAGGTATAGTTATGTATAGAAAAGTATTATTAATGTAATTCAACTAATTTCAGTATGTGCACTATTTAAAAGTATGTTAAAAATGTCCTAAAATAAGATAATCATCTCCCCAGGAAAAAAAAAAAAGTAGCATTACCATATGATTCAACAATTCCACTTCTGGGTATATACCCAAAAGAGTCAAAAGCAGGGTCTCGAAGAGATATTTGTATACCCATGATTGTAGCAGCCTTATTCACAGGAGCCAAAAGGTGGAAGCAACCATGTCCATCAACAGATGAATGAATAGACAAAACGTGGTGTGTGTATATCTAATGGAATATTCAGTCTTAAAAAGGAAGGAAATCCTGACACATGCTAAACTATGGATAAACCTTGAGGACATTATGCTAAGTGAAAGAAACCAGACACAAAACGACAGATAGTGTCTGATTCCACTCACATGAGGTACCCAGAGTAGTCAAAGCGGTAGAGATGGAAAGCAGAGTGATGGCTGCCAGGGGCATGGGGAAGACAGAACGGGGAGTTACCGTCCAGTGGGTGTGGGCTTCAGTTTTTCAAGAGGAAAAGAGTTCTGGGAGAGATGGTGACAGTCGCATGACAGTGTGAATGTACTTAACTCTACTGAACTGTACACTTAAAAACTGTTAAGATGGTAAATTTTGTGTTATATGTATTTTACCACATTTTTTTTTTTTTTTACTAAAGGAGTAGAAAAAAATCTGTAGACTTAAAGCTGATTTGGGGAAGATTCTTTGCTGTCAGGGTAGAAGGCAAAGTTGCCACTTTTTATTCTCCAGTGGTCGTAGCTGTGTACTCTTAGATAATAACTTCGACATTTGTAAATCTTTGTTTTCTCATCTGTAAAAAGTGGCGAGACTAATCCCTATTTAAAATAGGTTGTCATGATGGCTGGCCAGTTAGCTCAGTTGGTTAGAGGGTCAAATGAGGTGTATGGGAAAGTATATAGAATGTAGTAGGTGTTCAATAAATGTTAGTTGAATGTGACTCTATTAAGGCAAAATGGAGCTTCTAAGAGAGGAGCATAGTAACTGGTGATTTTCACCCAGATAATTAGCATTGAGAATGAGACTGAAATTTTTGGTGAAAATGAAAGTATACTACTTACTATGGACTTAATTCACTGGTGCCCTGCCCATCTACCCTATTAGCCATCTGTAAATGGGATGTCATTTTCATGTCTGTTAATCACATGCCCAGCCATGTCCCCAGATGGCGGTTTTCTTAATTTCTGCATCATTGAATCCCTCTTTTCAGCAGGCAGAAAGCTCAAGGGATGTGGGTTTGCTTCCCTGCAGGACCAAGTGTCCTCCTGAGAATGAGCCTCTAGTGCTTGGCTTCCCCCGTGATCAGTTTCCCTTGTGATCGGCTTCCCCTGTGATCGGCTTCCCCCGTGATCTGCCCTGGAGAGATGCCTCTGAGCAAGGGAGGCACCCAGAGGCAGACAGCTCTCTGGGGAGCACAGCCTGGGGGGGCAAGGGTTCCTCAGGAAGGCTCCTTGGGCAGGCAGGACTGTGCCCTTGATGTGGATGGACCACTCAGTGCTACCAGTGGGGCCAGGACTGAGCTTGAGGAAACTTTTAGGAACAGGCTCCCCAGAAGCACAAGCAGGAATCCAGAGATGAGAATCTGAAGGCTTCTCATTAAGATTACGGTTTGGCCTGTGAAGCTAAATTCATACCAGATAGAATTCTGGCTGGGTACGTGCTGACGGCTGTAGGTGACCAGAAAGACTGTCAGCATCAGAAGGCAGCTGGGAAAGAGCCCTGCTTTGGGGGACAGAAGGTCCTGCACTGGATTTTAAACTAGAAACTGTCAGAGCCTTCTTTGCTGGGTGACCCTTGTGAACTTTTGCTGGTGGAGACAGCAGAGCACAACAATTATCTCAAAAGCTGCTCTGAGGGCCGGCCCGGTGGTGCACTGCTACAGTGCGCGCTTGGGAAGTGCGGCGGCGCTCCCGCCGAGGGTTCGGATCCCACATACAGACCGGCCGCTCACTGGCTGAGCGAGGTGCGGGCGCAACACCGAGGGTTGCGATCCCGTAGCCGGTCCCGGTCCGGTACGGGCGCGACACTGAGGGTTGCGATCCGTTGTTGGTCACAAAAAAAGACAAGAAGAAAAAGAAAAAAAAAAAAGCTGCTCTGAGATATTTGTAGTTTTGAAAGAACAAAGACCAAGAGAGGTAGGATGCCTTATTTTTAATTGGCAACTACAATTAATATTTAGTTTTATCTGAAGTGATGAATATATATAATTGATGAACTATTACCATCTCCTGCCTTAACCACAGTTTTCACAATTATTTGAAATATGTTTTACAGACATAGAGCTTTGCATTTCGTGTATAAAGGTGAGCTCTTATACTCCTATTAAACCAATCTGACAGCACGAGATTCCGTATCTTCCCATGTTGAAAGAGAACGAAAGGTCACCCAATTTTAAACTTTTTTTTAAAGACACATTTATTCAACATCAAAATCAGACTCTTACATTTAGCAATCAATGGCATGGGTGCAAAAGAATAATCTACATTAAAACCATCTTAAACTTTCATGAGACCTTTGCATATTGAATTCACTCTTGTGAAATCCATTTTCTCATCAGCACAGACCAAGGCTTTTGATAGAACAGTATCCAAATGAAAAGGACATTTAGGTCTCCCAAGATGTGCTTCATAGCTTCTTTTTAATTAAAAGCCTTCTTAAAGTGTGATCCATATTTCTGATTTGATGTTTTTCTAAAAGATGAAGCTTTTATTATCATATCTGCAGTTCCTATTCTAACTCCACTGCTGACCTGCTGTGAGATCTTGAGCAAGTTCAGTGTACATCTCTGATTTCTGTACAAATGACCCAAAAAGGTTATGAGGATTGTATTCCCTGAACGTTGGGGGACAAGCCTATCCTTCCCCTCACTCTGCCCCTCTCAATGGTGCACTTGGGTAGATGTGTGACTCTAACATCATCTCCATGGGATCCACCTTATCTGTGCCTTCCCCATCCCCCCTGGCCTTAGGCCTCACCCAGAGCCACCTTTCCCACTCCCTCCCCCAGCCCTTCCCTGACTGGCGTGAAGAACATAGTTAATTTCAGGTATAGAAATCAGTATATGAAATAGCATGAACTGGGTGATCACGGTGGAGTAAAAACATACACATCATTGCATTCATTCATTCATCAAACATGCAGTAAAGCATTTCTACGTACCAAGCCCTGGCCTGGCTGGAGGCATTAATGTGTACAGACCAGCAAGGTCCCTGACCTCATAGGACTTACGCTTGTTGTGGGGGAGAAACAGACAGTAAACAAGTAAACAAATCAACAAGATGAGTTCAGATGGTGGCAAGTGCTGTAATGAAAATAAAGCTGCTTAACATGAAGAGAGGGGCTGGACTGTGGAATTTGTAGAAATTTTTGTTTTCTTCTTTACACTGGTTTTGCATTTTCCAAGTTTGTCACAATGGGTTGTTGTATTAATTTTGTAATCAGAATGAAATTAAGGAAGAAAAAAAGCATCTGCATCCCTAGGGAAAGTCACGTTGGAGGGAGAAGTCACACCCAGGCAGGGAAATGTGGAGGCTGTGGGTAGTGAGAGATTTTTTTTCCCTCTATTTCCCCCGCTTTGTGTCTTGTCATCACTATGTTGTGCTTATAATTAAGCCTGCTGTGCAGGGAGCCACCTCGGGTGCGTGTTTACCTCCTGCCTATTTAACCAGCCCAAGAGCAGCTCCCACGGGCCATGATCAAAACATGAGTTCATCAAGCTTATTTCCCCTAGGGGGGCATTCGGGCCCTGCCTGGAACTGTGTGTTCCCCTCTGCAGTAAATGTCCTGAGATTCTAGAATGGCCAGCCAGCCAGAGTGAATCAAGCTTGGGACCTCTGTGCCCTGGGACCTCCCAAATACTCCAACAGATGGATAAGTTTTGGGGGGACTGCAGGGTCTGGTTTTAGGGGCAAAAGCTAATCATGCCAGCCCATTCTCAGATCCAGGTTCAATCCCATTATCTGGACTTTCCAGTATCCATGCTGCCACTCAAATGGACATCAGCCATAAGCCTTCAGGATGGTCTAGCAAGTGGGAAAAGGTCCGGACTGCAGTAGAGAAGTGGGGTGGGTGGGTACCAGAGGTATCCAGTTTCCTCACCGGACCAGCTGGGGTAATGGGAGGGCAGGGCTTCAGCAAAGGGATCCGGGGGTGGGGTGGGGGGGTGCTGAGAGGAGACTCTGGAGACAAGAGCCAGACCGACCAAAGCATCCAGTTCTAGGGCAAGGGCCAAAAGCAAGAACTGAATCCAAAGCAAAGGTCAGGAAGAAGTGAACTCTGGGGTGGTCCCTGGAGGAACACAGAGGGAGGGAGCTTTCCTGGACACCCCCCAAGTCCAAAGAGGGAGCGTCTAAGGGCTTCCAGCCTCTCTGACCACACTGCTCCATCCCACCCATGTGTCCCATTTTGTGTCATTTCATCAGGGGAGGCTGGCATGTCTGAAGGAGCCAGGTTTGAGGGAAACTGAAGGGCCTGCCGCTTAAAAGCTCTGGGAAGTCCAGCTGCAATGCAAAGAGCACTTAGTTGAACCCTTTTATTTTAAAGTGACTGTTGCTGTGTGTTAAAACCATATTCGTTTTTAAAAGCCCAGAAGAAAAATTCTCAGATATTCACATTGATTGCTTCAGCTAATGGATTACAGGGAATAATTTTTCCTCCCTCATACATTCCTATTTTTTAAAAATTAAATTATAAATTATAAAAGTAAGAAATAAAAATGCTTGCTGTAAAGTTCCAATGATATAAAGTATATGGAATAAAAAATGAAAGGCTGTTTTTATCACCTCCCCAATCCCACTACCCCACCCCATGGGTGACTGCTG